TGCTTGGCGCACTCTTCCGAGCACCGTGAGGACCGTTTGACGAAGGATGATATCAAAGAGAAGGGCTGCCTCTTGGACGGCTTCCCACGTGCCCCGGATCAGGTCCTGAGCCCCACCGGTGACGGGACGCGTTTCATCTCCGGACGGGGCGGACGTGCCGGACGCGGACGTCGAGCGAGAAGCGAGACCAACAGAGACTAGGGCGAACGGGCAGACCCCCTGGAGGCCCCAGGACCCCCTACTGTAGCCTTGGTTCGACCAAAAGAGAGCGAAGGACCTCGTTTCGTTCAGTAGAACCCATCAGGATCAATGGTGGTCTCCGACGATTTCTTTTTGGGCCCTCCTTCCCTTGGCCTGCCCACAATTTCATCACTTCTCCCTAGTCGTGGCCAGCCTTCAGGCACAAGCCATGGTGGATGCCAATCTGGAGGTTCAGAAGTTCTTGGTGATCAAGGTGCCCCTGCAGTGTGGTACAATAATGTACAATACGTTTTTTTGAGATACATCGGAGAGAGACGCGTATCACTTCGTGGTTTTTTCCGTTTTTATTTTTTCAGGAGACGGTTGGGAGTCGAGAGTCGACTCGATGAGTCGACTCCATGGAGACAACTCCGTTCGTTGAATTGGAACGAATTGTGTCGTTTCAACCAGGTCGACTGGACATGGCCGACTGGTTGCTGATGGTTGCTGCAGGCTCCCAAGTCGCAGCTTAGCACATCGAGAATCGTAGCTTTGCCATGCGCTGGGCGGCCGTCGCTGCGGTTGCAAGTGCAACGTCTGGGCCTAGCAAGGAGAACCTTTGTGTGTCCAACCGCGGTTTGCCTTACGATGAAAGCCACTGCGATTGGGTTGCCAAGAGCAGGGGATGCATTTGGGAAGAGGGACAGTGTGTGTGCTCCGATGGAGGCTACTACTCCAGAACAGGACATCGTTGCTGGCCACCAGAACCCACCACAAGTTCAACTACAACTTCAATGCCAGCACCTGTGCCCACAGCAGATGACAGTCTTTGCGTGTCCAATCGTGGCATACCCTACGATGAAAGCGACTGTGATTGGATCGGCAAAAGCCGAGGCTGTGTGTGGGAAGGTGGTCGATGTGTGTGTTCTGGAGGAGGATATTACTCCAAAACTGGACACCGCTGCTGGCCTGCGGAGTCGAGGACCGTGTCTCCAGGCACCAGTGACAGTCTATGTCTTTCCAACCGCGGCTTGCCTTATGATCAAAGCGGCTGTGATTGGATTGCCAAGAGCAGGGGCTGTGTATGGGAAGGCGGCCAATGTGTGTGCCCTTTTGGAGGGTATTACTCCAAAACAAGACACCGCTGCTGGCCCAGTTCTCAGACCAGTTCTCCGCCATCGCCTTTGTCCAACTCCTTCGACGTGACCCGAAGGGTCGTCATGCTGATCCTGTTCCTGGCGGGTGCCTCCGCGTGCGTCGCGGGCTGCCCGGCCGGTCACTCCGCAGGTCCCGGCCGGTGTCGTTTTGGACGGCAGTTGGTGGGAGCAGAGCAGCCGATGATGATGGCAGACGCCGGACATGTGGAAGTGGTTCCAAGGACTGTGAACCAAACATGAGCCACATGCCCATGAAAGATCAACACCTGCTAGCCCAATGGTGTGCTAATGTGAGTAATTGTGGATTCCACAGAGAACCACCGGACTGTGAGCCCAATTGTTGGCCAAAAAAGGAGAAGACCTAGTGAGCGACCAGGTGGCAGGTGACTGACTAGAGCGGCGTGACGTTGGGATCTGGCCGGTCCAGCTGCGGTGGATCAAGCTACAGGATAAATCCCAACAGCATCCCACACTGACTTTACAATCTTTACATCGCCCCAGTTCGTCGACGAGGTTCTAGCCTGTTCTAGCTCTATGCCAGCAAGAATATCACGAAAAAATAGCCAGCAGACGGTGATTCCAAGTGAACCCAGACTTTGCAGTTCGCTTGTTCACTTCTTGAACCACTTGGGGGGCTTATTTGGCCAATCCCATTG